TATGTTACATTTTTGGTTTGGTGTTTAATGTACTATGCAGGGGTGGCAGATACAGGCAAAGCGACGTATGGTTACGTCGCTCTGGCTGTACTAACACAGGGGGGGGGCACACAGTGCTCCCCACCCATGACCGCTGTGTTCACCGGACACAGCGGAATGAAGATCCCACTAAACGGGACCCTGTGCTCACTATGCGATCACATGATCACAATGTTAGCAAAGCTGTTATGAATCAATATGATTCATAACAGCTCTGCTTCTCTTCCAGGAGAGCTGTGATTGGCCAACAGATCTCACATGATACATGGGGCCAATAACAGCACGCTGTGCTATGTGACCAGCTCTAGCCAATCACAATCACTATTATACTGAACTGATAACAATAAAAGTGATAAAAAAAAAATCACCCCCGCCCTCTTACCATGCTCATACGCAAAGGTGAACCCTAGCATCGGTTCCGTGTCGGTATGTAAACAGAGATTTCACCATGCATGTGAGGTACCACCGCAAATATCAGATTGAGGGCAGTAATTCTAGCACTAGACCCCCTGTGTAAATATAAAGTGGTGACCTGTAAAGGCTTTTAAAGTGTCACCTATCGATAATAAAAATGTACGTAATTTGTCGCCGTTGCGTAGGCATATGCAATTTTAAAGCAAGTCATGTTTGGTATCTATTTATTCAGCGTAACATTATCTTTTATATTTTATCAAACAATTGGGCAATATATTGTGTTTTTGTGCATTAAGATTAAAAAAAGTGTATTTTTTACATAAAAGTAACATTTGAAAAATCGCTGCGCAAATGCTGTGTGACATAAAAAATTACAACACCACCATTGTATTCTCTAGGGCCATTGTTTAAAAAAAATATATAATGTTTTGGGATTCAAAAATCCAAAAATGTTTTTTTTCAATACAAAAATATATTTTTTTTCTTCTTTTTCAAAACCAAGTGACAAAAATGATATCTGCAAAATACTCACCATGTGTCAGGAATGGACTGGCCAGCAATAGTGGGACTCAGCTGCCTTATGAGCTGCAGTACCAGGGCTGGCCAGCGGGTGCTCCCAGCAATCAGAGACTCAACCTTGCAGCCAGTCAAACACCTGGAACTAATTATACTGGTGTATTTAAGGGACATTCAGACCTGCAGACTCGGCCTTGGTGTTGTGTTTTCTCTTGGGCCCTGTATCCTGTTCCTGCTCTCTGTTCCTGTCTGATTCTCTGCTGACCCTGCTCTGATCCCTGGCTTGTCTGACCATTCTCCTCTGCCTGACCCTCTGTACCATGCTGCCCGCTACCTGCTGAACCTGGCCTGTGACCCCGACCATTCTCCGCTTGCTCCCCCTGTACCTACCTGCCCGACTGATATTGACCCGGCCTGCCTGACGACGCTTGCATTGTATGTACTGTTATCTGTGGGTGGTTGGTTGGTTTGTTTGCACTGTGTTATGTTTTAGTATTGCACTGCGTTTATGTTTGTATTGTTAGTGTTAATAAATTACATTGTTTATAACATATCTGAAGTCTGCGTTTCCCTGCGTCAGTCACATACCTCTGGTCATACCCGGGAGCCCTGACATTACACCAAGGCCAATCCTGACCAGAAGTGGCTGCACAGGGAAGCCATCTTGGCTTGTTGATGGGAAGGATGGATCTGGATGAGGTTGTGTATTTATATCTGCTAGTGTTTGATGACAGGGAATGCTTATCAAACTCTGAAGGAGTATACCCGGGATGAACTGCTAGAATATATACGGCTCGCTCATGTTCTAGTAGATCAGGGCACAGAGTTCTCTGAGGTGCAGCCTTTGATTGAGGTTTGTGCTGAGTTGGTTTCATCTGGTACCCCCGAATGCAGGGATGAATTTTTGCCACCATTTAGTGCAGACCAGGTAGAGTCCCTGGTGTGGTTATTAGAGGATGATGTGGGTTACATTCTGGAGCGTTATTCCACATGTTCACCACAGACACTAAGAGATTGTATAAACGCAGTGCAGTCTTTGGTCAGACAGGCTTTGTGTAAGCTGAGCTTTGTTCAACCCATACTGCAGACATGGACAGACTTGTTGCACCCAGCCTCAGTCAGCTTGCAAAACCCAGTCCTGCTTCTAATCTATTTCCTCAAAACTCTATTCCTGCATTCCCAACAGCTCCTCCTGCCCTGCTATCTACCGCATGTCAGTACCCTGTTCCCACTCGCTGCACCTATCCTGCCTTTAACCCTGTAAAAAAGCCCTCTGTAGCAACTGCTCCCTCTCCTGTTCCATCCTCCAGTTCTTCTCTGTCTCCAGCTGCTCCATTCGTTTGCAGACCTGCATTTACTTGCAGTGCTCCAGTGGTTAAAACCAGAAAAAAGCGAAAATTCTTTCCAACCAATACCATCCTGCCAGTATCCAAACCGGTGAACCTGCCTTCCGTGGTTCAGCCTGAAGCCTCTACTCAGCCTGAATCCTCTACTCGGCCTGATGCCTGTACTCGGCCTGATGCCTGTACTCGGCCTGAAGCCTCTACTCGGCCTGATGCCTGTACTCGGCCTGAAGCCTCTACTCGGCCTGATGCCTCTGCTCGGCCTGATGCCTCTGCTCGGCCTGATGCCTGTACGCGGCCTGATGCCTCTACTCAGCCTGAAGCCTCTACTCAGCCTGAAGCCTCCTACTCAGCCTGATGCCTGTACTCAGCCTGATGCCTGTACGCAGCCTGATGCCTCTCTTCAGCCTGAAGCCTCTACTCGGCCTGAAGCCTCTACTCGGCCTGAAGCCTCTATTCGGCCTGAAGCCTCTACTCGGCCTGATGCCTCTACTCGGCCTGAAGCCTCTACTCGGCCTGATGCCTCTACTCGGCCTGATGCCTGTACGCAGCCTGATGCCTCTCTTCAGCCTGAAGCCTCTACTCGGCCTGAAGCCTCTACTCGGCCTGAAGCCTCTATTCGGCCTGATGCCTCTACTCGGCCTGAAGCCTCTACTCGGCCTGATGCCTCTACTCGGCCTGAAGCCTCTACTCGGCCTGATGCCTCTACTCGGCCTGAAGCCTCTACTCGGCCTAATGCCTCTATTCAGCCTGATGCCTCTACTCGGCCTGATGCCTCTACTCGGCCTGAAGCCTCTACTCGGCCTGAAGCCTCTACTCAGCCGGACGCCGGCATTCAGCCTGATGCCTCTACCCAGCATGATGAACTGATCCAGCCTGGCGATCCTATTAGGCCAGTTGACTCGATGCCCGCTGTTGATCCAGATGATCCGGTACCTGATCCGGTGCCCGCTGTCGTGCCAATTGACTCAGAGCCCGCTGTCGTACCTGGTGACTCGGTGCCCACTGCCTTGCCAGATGACGCGGTGCCCGCTGGCGAGCCAAATGACCTGATGCCTGGTGACCCAGGGCCCGCTGTCATACCTGGTGACCCGATGCCGCTGTCGAGCCAGACGATCCAATGCCTGGTGACCCGGTGCCCACTGCCTTGCCAGATGACGCGGTGCCCGCTGGCAAGCCAAATGACCTGATGCCTGGTGACCCGATGCCCGCTGTCCAGTCAGACGATCCAATGTCTGACCCAGTGCCCGCGGTCATACCAGTTGACTCGGATCGGAGCCCACTGCCTTGCCAGATGACGCGGTGCCCGCTGTCGAGCCAAATGACCTGATGCCTGGTGACCTAGTGCCCGCTGTCATACCTGGTGACCCGATGCCCGCTGTCGAGCCAGACAATCCGGTACCTGATGACCCGGTGCCCACTGTCGTGCCTGTTGACTCGGAGCCCACTGCCTTGCCAGATGACGCGGTGCCCACTGTCGAGCCAAATGACCTGATGCCTGGTGACCCGATGCCCGCTGTCCAGCCAGACGATTCAATGTCTGCCCCAGTGCCCGCGGTCATGCCAGTTGACTCGGAGCCCACTGCCTTGCCAGATGACGCGGTGCTCGCTGTTGAGCCAAATGACTTGATGCCTGGTGACCCGATGCCCGCTGTCCAGTCAGACGATCCAATGTCTGACCCAGTGCCCGCGGTCATACCAGTTGACTCGGAGCCCACTGCCTTTCCAGATGACGCGGTGCCCGCTGTCGAGCCAAATGACCTGATGCCTGGTGACCCGATGCCCGCTGTCCAGTCAGACGATCCAATGTTTGACCCAGTGCCAGCGGTCATGCCAGTTGACTCGGAGCCCACTGTCGTGCCTGGTGACTCGGTGCCCGCCGCTTCGCCTGGGGGCCCGAGACCTGTCGCTCCGCCTGGGGGTCCGGCGCCCGCCGCCCCCCCTGGGGGCCCGAGACCTGTCGCTCCGCCTGAGGGCCCGAGACCTGTCGCTCCACCTGGGGGTCCGGCGCCCGCCGCTCCACCTGAGGGCCGGAGACCTGTCGCTCCACTTGGGGGTCTGGCGCCCGCCGCTCCGCCTGAGGGCCCGAGACCTGTCGCTCCGCCTGGGGGTCCGGCGCCCGCCGCTCCGCCTGAGGGCCCGAGACCTGTCGCTCCGCCTGGGGGTCCGGCGCCCGCCGCTCCGCCTGAGGGCCCAAGATGTCGCTCCGCCTGGGGGTCCGGCGCCCGCCGCTCCGCCTGAGGGCCCGAGACCTGTCGCTCCGCCTGGGGGTCCGGGGGCGCCCGCCGCTCCGCCTGGGGGCCCGATGCCTGTCGCCCCGCCTGGGGGCCCGATGCCTGTCGCCCCGCCTGGGGGCCCGATGCCTGTCGCCCCGCCTGGGGGCCCGCCGCCCGCCGCTCCGCCTGGGGGCCCGATGCCTGTCGCCCCGCCTGGGGGCCCGATGCCTGTCGCCCCGCCTGGGGGCCCGACGCCTGTCGCCCTGCCCTGGGGGCCCGATGCCTGTCGCCTGTTGACTCGGAGCCCACTGCCTTGCCAGATGACGCGGTGCTCGCTGTTGAGCCAAATGACTTGATGCCTGGTGACCCGATGCCCGCTGTCCAGTCAGACGATCCAATGTCTGACCCAGTGCCCGCGGTCATACCAGTTGACTCGGAGCCCACTGCCTTTCCAGATGACGCGGTGCCCGCTGTCGAGCCAAATGACCTGATGCCTGGTGACCCGATGCCCGCTGTCCAGTCAGACGATCCAATGTTTGACCCAGTGCCAGCGGTCATGCCAGTTGACTCGGAGCCCACTGTCGTGCCTGGTGACTCGGTGCCCGCCGCTTCGCCTGGGGGCCCGAGACCTGTCGCTCCGCCTGGGGGTCCGGCGCCCGCCGCCCCGCCTGGGGGCCCGAGACCTGTCACTCCGCCTGAGGGCCCGAGACCTGTCGCTCCACCTGGGGGTCCCGGCGCCCGCCGCTCCACCTGAGGGCCGGAGACCTGTCGCTCCACTTGGGGGTCTGGCGCCCGCCGCTCCGCCTGAGGGCCCGAGACCTGTCGCTCCGCCTGGGGGTCCGGCGCCCGCCGCTCCGCCTGAGGGCCCGAGACCTGTCGCTCCCGCCTGGGGGTCCGGCGCCCGCCTGGGGGGTCCGGCTCCGCCTGAGGGCCCGAGACCTGTCGCTCCGCCTGGGGGTCCGGCGCCCGCCGCTCCGCCTGAGGGCCCGTGACCTGTCGCTCCGCCTGGGGGTCCGGCGCCCGCCGCTCCGCCTGGGGGCCCGATGCCTGTCGCCCCGCCTGGGGGCCCGATGCCTGTCGCCCCGCCTGGGGGCCCGATGCCTGTCGCCCCGCCTGGGGGCCCGGCGCCCGCCGCCCCGCCTGGGGGCCCGAGACCTGTCACTCCGCCTGAGGGCCCGAGACCTGTCGCTCCACCTGGGGGTCCGGCGCCCGCCGCTCCACCTGAGGGCCGGAGACCTGTCGCTCCACTTGGGGGTCTGGCGCCCCCCGCTCCACCTGAGGGCCCGAGACCTGTCGCTCCGCCTGGGGGTCCGGCGCCCGCCGCTCCGCCTGAGGGCCCGAGACCTGTCACTCCGCCTGGGGGTCCGGCGCCCCGCCGCTCCGCCTGGGCCCGAGACCTGTCGCTCCGCCTGGGGGTCCGGGCGCCCGCCGCTCCGCCTGGGGGCCCGATGCCTGTCGCCCCGCCTGGGGGCCCGATGCCTGTCGCCCCGCCTGGGGGCCCGATGCCTGTCGCCCCGCCTGGGGGCCCGAGACCTGTCACTCCGCCTGAGGGCCCGAGACCTGTCGCTCCACCTGGGGGTCCGGCGCCCCGCCGCTCCACCTGAGGGCCGGAGACCTGTCGCTCCACTTGGGGGTCTGGCGCCCGCCGCTCCGCCTGAGGGCCCGAGACCTGTCGCTCCGCCTGGGGGTCCGGCGCCCGCCGCTCCGCCTGGGGGCCCGATGCCTGTCGCCCCGCCTGGGGCCCGATGCCTGTCGCCCGCCTGGGGGCCCGATGCCTGTCGCCCCGCCTGGGGGCCCGATGCCTGTTGCCCCGCCTGGGGGCCCGGCGCCCGCCGCTCCGCCTGGGGGCCCGATGCCTGCCGCCCCGCCTGGGGGCCCGATGCCTGTCGCCCCGCCTGGGGGCCCGACGCCTGTCGCCCTGCCCTGGGGGCCCGATGCCTGTCGCCCCTCCTGGGGGCCCGGCGCCCGCCGCTCCGCCTGGGGGCCCGATGCCGGCCGCTCTGCCTGGGGGCCCGATGCCGGTTGCCCCGCCTGGGGACCCGATGCCGGTCGCCCCGCCGGGGGCCCGGTGCCTGCTGCTCCACCCGGGGGCCCGCTGCCTGCTGCTCCGCCTGGTGGCCCGGTGCCTGCTGCTCCGCCTGGTGGCCCGCTGCCTGCTGCTGCTTCGCCTGGTAATCCGATGTGCCTCTGCCCAGAGTCTGGCCCGATGTGCCTCTGCCCGGAGTCCGGCCTGATGTGCCTCTGCCCGAGTCCGGCCCGATGTGCCTCTGCCCGAGTCCGGCCTGATGTGCCTCTGCCCGGAGTCCAGCCCGATGTGCCTCTGCCCGGTGTGCCTCTGCCCGGAGTGCCTCTGCCCGCTGTGCCGCTGCCCGGAGTGCCTCTGCCCGGAGTCCAGCCCGATGTGCCTCTGCCCGGAGTCCTGCCCGATGTGCCTCTGCCCGGTGTGCCGCTGCCCGGAAGTCCTGCCCGATGTGCCAGTCTTTGATATCCCGCCAGTTACCAGACCCGGGCGGTGGAACATTTTGCCCAGCTAGGACTGTTTGGAGCGTCCTGAGGCCGCTCCTTGAGGGGGGGGTACTGTCAGGAATGGACTGGCCAGCAATAGTGGGACTCAGCTGCCTTATGAGCTGCAGTACCAGGGCTGGCCAGCGGGTGCTCCCAGCAATCAGAGACTCAACCTTGCAGCCAGTCAAACACCTGGAACTAATTATACTGGTGTATTTAAGGGACATTCAGACCTGCAGACTCGGCCTTGGTGTTGTGTTTCTCTTGGGCCCTGTATCCTGTTCCTGCTCTCAGTTCCTGTCTGATTCTCTGCTGACCCTGCTCTGATCCTGGCTTGTCTGACCATTCTCCTCTGCCTGACCCTCTGTACCACGCTGCCCGCTACCTGCTGAACCTGGCCTGTGACCCCGACCATTCTCCGCTTGCTCCCCCTGTACCTACCTGCCCGACTGATATTGACCCGGCCTGCCTGACGACGCTTGCATTGTATGTACTGTTATCTGTGGGTGGTTGGTTGGTTTGTTTGCACTGTGTTATGTTTTAGTATTGCACTGCGTTTATGTTTGTATTGTTAGTGTTAATAAATTACATTGTTTATAACATATCTGAAGTCTGCGTTTCCCTGCGTCAGTCACATACCTCTGGTCATACCGGGAGCCCTGACACCATGCCTCTTATCAAATTCCTTGGATTGTCTACTTTCCAAAAAGGGGGAGGGGGGTGTTTGTACTATCCTGGGATTTTAGGGCCTCTGAAAC